TTTCTTTTCTTTTCTTTTCTTTTCTTTTCTTTTCTTTTCTTTTCTTTCCCCTTCCTTCCTTCCTTCCTTCCTTCCTTCCTTCCTTCCTTCCTTCCTTCCTTTCTTTCTTTCTTTCTTTCTTTCTTTCTTTCTTTCTTTCTTTCTTTCTTTCTTTCTTTCTTTCTTTTTTTCCTGAAGTCATAGAAAGGGACAACAGAAGGGTGAGAAGTGAAGTACAAGATCAAACAGAATAGTGAGCAGTGGAGAGACCATTTAGGAAGGCCGTGAGTCAAGAATTGAATTGATAGAGTGGGAGAGAAGCTGGAAAAGTCAGAGGTCAAGGACTGAATGCTGGGATCAGAGAAGGGAGCTTTGCAGTTTAGGCAATGGGGACGATGAAGACAAAAGAAAGACAGCAGCTGAGGTGAAAAGAAACTACAGAAAGTACTTTACAGGCTTTTTGCTCTGGGTTCACTGATTTAACCAAGGAAAAAGTATCTCTAAGGGACACAGAACAGGACACAGGACTAGGACATAGAGAACATACACAGGATGGTGAGTGGGCAGCCCCAGCATTCTTGAAAGAGAGAGCAGGCATAACAGGAAAGAGGAAACAATGTTTACACAGTGTGAACATAATATACACACATCTGGAAAGTCTATCCTCTATCCATCTGAACCAATGAAGATATGCATGGAACCTGTAACAATATCAAACATAATGAAAATATACATCACTTGCAATTCCCCCTATACCCTCATTGCCCTCTCGTTCTTCGCCTCACTCCCAGTCATCTAAACGACCCCTTCCTTCCACTCTATACATTGCTTTCAGAGTTCATATCAGTGAAGCAACCATTCTGTGCTCCTGTTTTCTCTGAATCTTCATGCTTGCCTTTAGCTTCCTTCACATGGTTGCATGTATATAAGTAGCTCACGTCTTTACGTTGCAAAATACTATTTACTATTTCATTGTATGGACATACCACAGTTCGTTTCTCCATTGACTTGTGCACAGATAGCTGGGTTATTCTCCATGTTAACTCACAGAAAATATAATGACTATGAACACAAGTGAGCACATCAATTTCAGAACAAAAGAGAAGCAAGGATAAGTGAGTTAGAGTGCAGGGAAACCTTGGTTCCAACGCAGAGACTGAGACAAGCACTTTCTTAAGACATTCATCTTCTTACTTTATATGACTTCACTTTCCCACTCATCTAATGATTGAGAGGTTGGGGTCCTGTTTGGAAATGAGGGCCTGATTCTGAATTTGGGCAAACATGTCTGGAATATGCTCCTGGAAATTACTAGTATATTTGAAGATGTGGGATTCCTGAGTTTGGAGAAAGTACTTATGGATTAGAGATGGCCATCACTTTATGTTCTCTGCTCATATTTAAATTATGTGCACTACAGGAGAGGGGGTGACAGAGGAAAGATGCTGTCTTTTCTGCTATAAGTAATTCTCTTTGGCCAAAAAAGAGACACTGAACTCAGGTGCCCAGGCTTTAGCATACGTGTTTTTGCCTGCCCTTCTCTCTGCCTCCAATACCTATTTTTGAATAATTTTTTTTTCTGTTCTCATCTTGTCTGTGACAAGTTTACTGAAAATTGCCTCCTTCTCCCCACATCTCAATGGAGTTGCTTTCTCTTCCTCTTCCTCTCAAGTTATGCATTTCACATGAAGGAATTAAGCTTTAAGGTGGGTCAAAAGCATGGTTCTCTCAGAGCTGGGTACAAGTCTTATATTAACAAAAAGTTACTGTTAAGCAGAGTCTATGTCTTAGCTCTAGAGCATGTACTTAGCATGAATACATAAGAGAAAAAGAAAAGGTTAATGTTTGGAGAAGAGCTAAACTGTTCCTCCTAGGAGACTGTTACTCCTGGAATAGCCACCCTCATATATATATCCATGGTGTTTAATGTCATTTTAAGGACATTGTGGAGGCCATGTTTTCTTGGAGGAACCAAACAATTTAGGGTAAAAGAAAGCATCTATCCATATGGTGGCCTCCAAGAACATCTAATATATGCACATGACTTAACACAAATCGCAGGATCTCAAAAAGGAGACAGTGTACAACCCCAAGTTCTCAACAAGAGCTAAGTAAAGCATTGGTAGAAAAGCTTTAGCAGGTCATCTCTGCCATTCCCCTGGGCCTGGGACCATTCCCTCAGGATGTTTTTCTGCAGAGTTTCTATTTTGTGTAGAGTTCCAAACATATCACAGATCATGGTGCTGACAGGGCCATT